GCCTGTAGTCCCAGCTACTTGGGAGGCTGAGGCAAGAGAATCACTTAACCCAAGAGTTGGAGGTTGCTGTGAGCTATGATGCGACAGCACTCTACCAAGGCCAACATAGTGAGACTCTGTCTAAAAAAAAAAAAGTTGTAACTTTAAAAATTTCACACAGATTTTATGTCTACCCTGTATTTGCACTATAAAAAAAAAGTGATGAAGCTTTGTCTTCCAGGGAATTATATTCTGACTTCTTTGCGATCAACCAATGAAATAAAATATTTTTCTTCCCAATGAATTAAATTATTTTTCTCCCATTCTTTATGACCAGTTTGTATCATAATCACAGGTTTTTCTATATGCAAAACTTTGCCTTTCTTTCTAAAAGAAACAGCTCAAGGGACTTTCAAAATGGCCATTCTCTTTTCATGTTATGTAATGTAACATAATATAAGTTAATTTATCAATGAAGCATCTTCAGTCATTTGCATCAGTGTAAATGGTATCAATGAAGTTGTCATTCCTCTAATCTGCACAGTTGGTGCTAAAAGAGAGAGAGAATTTGAAGATATGGAAATAAACAAGTAATGATAATTTTTTTTTTTTTTAAATAGACAACAGGCTGGGCACAAGTGGCTCGCATCTGTAATCTGAGCACTCTGGGAGGCTGAGGTGGGAGAACAACTTAAGCTCAGGAGTTCAAGACCAGCCTGAGCAAGAGTAAGACTCTATTTCTACTAAAAAAATAGAAAAATTAGCTGAGTGGTTGGTGGGAGGCTGTCGTCCCACTACTCGGGAGGCTGAGGCAATAGGATCACTTATACTCAGGAGTTGGAGGGTGCTGTGAGCTGGGCTTACACTATGGCACTTTAACCTGGGCAACAGAGTGGGACTCTGTCTAAATAAATAAATCATATAATAAATAACAAAAAGTCCTGTTCTTTTTTTCAAAAACCTCTCCTGGTTTGATCCCTTCATATGACATCCAACATTTAATTTCCTCCAGATCTGTGCTGATAAAACTTTTAACACACACACAAAAATAAGCTGGAATTTTAGAAGGTATTAATTCATGGTCTGTTTCCATACTGTTGAAGATTTTAATAACTATCTGTCATGTAAGGAGTTTAGAACGGTTCTCAATCCCTTTCACAGGGAGTGCAAAGGCAAATAAATAACTTTCCGAGCCTTACGCCCAAGTTCCTAATATATACTCACGTTAAAATGAACATCCACATCTTAAAAAAAAAAAAAAGGTGGAAAAAGGCAGGTTGAGTTTTACAAGAAGAGGAGAAAAAGAGAAGGAATGAGAGATGAATATTTTTCCAGTGTTGTTGTGTCCCACTTGGAGCAATCTTGATCGATTTGTGTAATCACTTGCTCCATTCCTAGAGAAGGGACTGGCTCATCCCAAATCACACAGCAATCATGGGCAAAATAAACACCTAGCATTTGCTCTACATTCAACAATTCCTTCTGTCTGTGTTTCAGTAATGAAGGGCGAGAATAATACACAGGGTTGCAAAGTAATTTTCCTTCCCTCCTATAGCCTCAGCCTCCAGCTTGTGTTTCTTCGATCTCTGCTCCCAAGGTACCTGCAACTCTCTCAGAAAACAGTGAGAGAGGCTGAAATAAGTGAAGGGGAGACTAGACAGTTGGTGTGGTTTGGGGAGTGAGTAGAGACCCATTTCTCACCTGAATTAATCCCAGGTAGTGGCAGGTACACCGCTTCTCAGTTTTCTCTGGCTCTGTTCTTAGTAGGACAAAGTGCATTCAGCACAGGTGGTCCCGTGGCAACCTTGGCTCCTGTGTCAAAGCACATTAAAAAGGTTTTATTGAATGGTGAGACAGTGTAGGAAATGGAGGGGCCGGGAGCTTACATGGAAAAGTCTAAAATTGTTTTCCAAAGAAGACAGGAAGGAAATGTCCAAGAGTGGATTTGGAAAATCTGACACTCTAATTTCTATTTATCACAGAATTGTATAACTGAACGTTTAACAGAACGATGAGGCCCAATTCTAGGATTTTCCAGGCAGGGCAAACACTCGCCACACTTTTTAAAGAAATAATTCTCTACAAATTGTTTTAAACATATGTTCCCATATCTTCGTGTTAAAACCACCACTACCACCAGAAAAATCAAACAAAGAAACTTCTCTATATAAGAGATCCTAACTCACGAGATTGTACCTCTATGTTTTAAGTATAGTCATCTCTTTATAGCTATTCAGTCCAAGACTCCCCGCAGACATCAAAATCCACAGATACTCAACACCCTGGTATAATACAGCATAGTATTTGCACATAAGCTACATACATCCTCTTGTACACCTCAAACCCTCTCTAGGCTACTTATAATACTGGATATAATTCTGTGTAAATAGTTGTATGCTGTATTGTTTAGGGAATAATGACATGCAAAAAAGAAGGCTTTACGTGTTCAAAACCTTTTTCTTTTTTTTTTTTTTTTTGAGACAGAGCCTCAAGCTGTCCCCCTGAGTAGAGTGCCGTGGCTTCACAGCTCACAGCAACCTCCAACTCCTGGGCT